GGACATATACACCCATGCCTTCTCCGATATTCGAACCTGGGCCCTTCCGTCTGCTCCCTTAATCACTATACCGTCTGGGGAACGTAAAAAAACGCAAAATCGCGTTTGATAGCTTAACATTTATTCGGTTTGCAGATAAAGCCTTTCCTAAAATCCAGTTTTATTTGAAATACCATTATTTATATTGAGGTAAAAAGTGTGAAGTGAAACTATTATACGATAAGTTTTAAATAGTGTTTTCAGACCTTTCTTATGTTCCTCAATGCAACAAAAAAATTATTAAATGGGCCTTCTTTTAAGTAAGTTTTCTTTTGAGTAAAGTGAGCTAGGTCCAAATATAAGACTATTTATACATTATTATATGTCTTACATTTTGGTGGCTAACAAATTTGCATTCTTGATTACACTAAATTCATAAGATCGCGTCATTCACCAAAGCAAGACATTTTATTTCGTAGATAATTTTTAGTTATTTATAACTGAAAACTGCAAAAAATTGTAGATATGCTCTATCTATTATGCAATTGCTTCATTATGCACCGTGATTTATAAATAAAATAAATATTTACAATCATTTAAAGAATTATGTCTGATAATAATAATTTAAGTAATCTGACTTTAAATATGTTTTGTAAAGTATTTTAAAAAGTACATGAGAGAGATTTACTTTTTGAAATTCTTAAATTAAATAGTACAGAAAACCTAGTAGCTATATATTCAAAATGACAGAAAATTCGAAACTTTCGAAAACACATAAATTTTCATATTGAACAGCATATTGCTATTATTTAATAATTGCTAAGTCATAAAATATTTAAAGAAGCGACAAACAGTGCAGAAGTTGAGAGTATTCCGTCAATAATTAATGCACAGACGCTGAAGAAATATCGAAAAAATTAATAAATGTTTGTTTTACAAACACATTATGTTAATTTAGTTATATAAATCATCTAACCTCTGTTTTCTATTGCATACCATATTTTATTTTTAGTCCAAAGGGATTTGAATCCCGAAGAACTATTAGTTTCGTTTTGGCATTTTGCGTCGGACTCATAAATGTCGGTTCACTTTTCAAACTGTTGCCACAAAATGTTAGAGTCCTGCATTATATTTGAAGAAATTAAATAATGAAAAATCTGCATAAATGTATGTATTTTCTCGTATTGTGATAAACAACGGTACTAGAGTCATCGAATTTTGAATAACGTAATCCTCCAACGAATATGTCTGCCCATGTGGAAGACCAAATTTGAAATTTGAAATTTGTTTATGATCGATTTCCTATTTTTTAAAACTTTGACGAATTTTTGATTAACAAACTCAAGGATTTCAAAGCGAGCAATGGCAACGTTGTGCAGAAAAAACATTTTTATCTCCAGCGCGTGAGTCTCTATATCGGAATTCTAAAGATATGCTCGTTTTAAAATTTTTTTGCGATATTGCTGTTGCACTGGATCTTATGGTTTAAGTGCGAGGAACATGATATTAATAAAGAAAGGTAACACACAAAATGTTAAAAAACGCCCCTTTGGACGTAATTTAAAATCTGAAACATTTCAGATTTTGTTTTTTTGGATTATATAATAAAAACAGAGTTTCATTCAGTTACTATATTTTTCAAGGCATAAGAGGATCAAGCCAAAGTAGAACATAAAACAGGTAAAGCGACAACCTTGTATTTGGTGTAGATATGTAAATTCTCAATAGATGAAAAGGGACCCGTTTGCCTTCGATTGAGAATTTACAAAATCTAAGCTAAAATCAAGGTTGTCGTTTTACCTGTTTCTTCTTACATTTTTCCCGAATTGCAGCTGCCTCCCGAGTTGGAGATAAAAATGTTAATGTTAAAATAGAACAGTGTTGCCACTGCTCGCTTTCAAACGTTGATATTGTTAATTAAAAATTAAAGTTTTAAAAAATATGAAAAAATAATAAAACAAATTCTAAATTCAAAGTTCGCGCTTTCAGGTGAAGGATTGAGCGACCGAGCGGTAAAGTCGCTGAACACTGGTAGTTCGGTCCGAGGTTCGAATCCCGCGAACCTCGGACCCGCGTGGTGTTTTCGTGGTTTTCCCCATGTGTAACGTGTAAACGAGCCAGTTTTCCGTAGAAAGTCCTCTACGAAGGCATCCCTGCCCTTAGGCAGATAGCCCTCGAGGCTTTGCCGTAATTAAATAACCTAACCTAAACCTAACCAGGTGAAGGATTACATTATTCAAAATTTAATAGCTCTACGTACCATCGTTTTTTTTTACAATATATGCAGATTCTTCATTATTTAATTTCTTTAAAAATAATACAGAGCGATAACATATTTAGCGGCAACAATCTAAAAAGTTACTCAGACATTTAAGTGTTTCCGACGCAAAATCCCGAAACGAGACTAATAGCGCTTATGTGTTTTTTACCTGTAAAAATTTAGCACAAAACCCACAATTAATTTAACACAAAAATTATAAAAATATATCAATTGAGCAGCACTATGCATCTTCGTTCATTGGTGAACTTAATTATGCAGGTCCGGCGATTGTCGCCCGGTGCAAGCTCCGCAAATCCAAAATTCTGCCGCCCGGTTCGTTCCTAGATCTAAAACTTTTGCCGCCCCAAAATTCTGCCGCACAGCGCGTTCAAACGCTATGTTGCCGGCCTTGTAATTATGACTTCCAAATGAGAGCTGATTTATTTATGTATTGCTTTTATTTATAAATAGAATTTTCAATGATTTTTAATAACATAAAAAGCCTAGCAGTGGGCAAATAAATAAGAGCGTTGAATACTTTTATTCAACGTGGGTTCGAATCAAGACAAGTAAGCTGCTTGCATTAATGTTTTAAATTTCCACAATGTGTAACGTAGGTATTAGATAGTTCTCTTAGAAAGACCTCATAGCCCTTGTGTGATTCGTTACATTTAAACAAATAATTATAACTGAAGCTTTTTTGCTAAATATCTTCATTAGGATGTATTTACATGGCTGGTATGTACTGCTGGTACATTTCTCTGGGGTTTCTGGTTAAAGTAAAAGTTTTCACTTTTAGAGCTACGCAAATGAATTGCACTTTTTAACGCAAAATCGTGGCTTCTCAGTTTCAAAAAGTAAGATAAATTATTATAAAAGTTTATCTTTCTTTCACAAATATTCATAAAAGTCGCACCAAATACGTTATTATATTTTAATTTTATCCATTTATTTTGTTCATAATTTAAGTGTTCGAACAAAGTTTTATTTTTTCAGAAATAATTATAGTTTCTCCATAAAAACTGTTATCAATTTAACGAAAATCACCGCATGAAATAGCGATAGTAAAATATTGTTTCCAGCATGAATAACTTTCATGCTGGAAATTACATTTTACTTAAAATACTTCAGTAAAATTTTATATGAAGGGAGGGTACGCTTGTGTAGAATTTTTTGCATCCTTTGTAAATAAAATGTGAAATTTATAAGATGAAGTCGCTTCTCATATGCGTAGATAAAAGATAAACCGAGAAAATTCTAGAGAACAATTCCAATTCTACTTCATTTTCGTCATAACATTCCAATTCTCAACAGAAATTATCTCTTCTTTCTGTTCCTTCACATGCTTTGGACATCAGCACTATATTCCTTCAAAACAAACTACCATTTATTAGCGAAGAATACCTAATTCGCATTCTTCACAAATCATTTTCAGCCTCCATACTTTTATGTATTTCCAAAAACAAAAATGTCTGGATGAAAAAAAAATTGAGTTTCTAACATGAGTGGCTTTGATGGTTTACAGTTAAAGTATGGTGCATACTGTTCATCATGCTCTCTTTTCCGTTTATTGTACAGTCGAGAACAGAAAGGAAATTTTGTTTTCCAGCCTTTCAAAAACTAGACGAAGTAAATCTTCATCAAAAGATAATTTATGACAAGTGCAACTAATTTTCTAAAAGTCAGTATACTGTTTGAAATTTCTGTAAATGCTTGGACAGCAAGAAACATTCTTCTATTGAAAAGAATAGCTAAATTCTCTGGTATATTACAAGAGCAATAATAATTTGTGGCAAATAATCTGGCTCAGAAGTTCTTTAGCATTATGACTTGTATTTTCCAAAATTATATTTTTCTCATTTGCTAATGCTGTAACGCTCCGACGAAAATAACTTACGTAAATCTTCCTCCAATAACAATTTTAGAGCTTTATTATTTTGCCAATCAAAACGATATCGAAATCGAATTTATGTATATTTCAATATTTTACAGATACTCATTAAAATGAAAGAGTACAACAGAAAAAATTAAGTGGAGCAGAAGGAAGAAAACGAAGGAAAGCTCAAAATGAAGAATGTGTGAAGTCAAGCAAAATTCTGACAGCATTTTTGAAAAGTAATAAAGATTCGGAATCATTCACATATCAAAATAGGAAGAAGATGTAGAGATACATACATCACCTCCCTGTATTAAAATATTTGAGCAAGAAAACTTAGAAGAGAGGCACAGAAGTGAAATAGACTTGAATAAAAAGGAATGCAAGTATTCGTCAAATTCTGAAGAAAATTCGGACGAGGATTCACCTGATCCAACTCAACAAGACAAGCCGAAAGGTATTGAAACGATAGCTGATGTGATTTACCATCGTGACTTTCGATATCTGAATTTTGACCAGGCAACAGGAAAAGCAATCGTACCAGATGCACTTCGTATAGAAATAGTGGAGAAAGGGTCGATTTATTTTCAGAATAATGTTGGGCCTTTTGCACAAAAAATAACAGACCGATGACCTCAGCATGGTTTATCAAACAGTTAGGAAAAGGAAAAGGAGGTATGGTGAATAGATCTTGGTTGGTGTACTCTCCTTTAAAAAGAGCAGCATTCTGTTTTTCGTGTCTACTTTTTCCATCAAAAGATGCAGTCAGTAGCTGTTCTTCTTTAGAAACTGAAAGTGGTTTTAATAGTTGGAAGAAACTAGAAAAAAATTACTGCACATGAGAATTCTCAAAGGCACCGAAATTCTTTCACAACCTGGAAAGAAATGGAAAGAAGGCTGATAAAAAAAGGAAGTTTAATAGATGCCCAGCTTCAAAATCAAATTGCTACAGAGAAAGAAAAATGGCGACAAATACTTAAGAGGGTGTTGTGTTGCATTCAGTATTTAGCCAAACAAAATTTGGCCCTAAGAGGCCACAGAGAAAGTATCACTGAGAGTCAAAGAAACGCTGGAAATTTAATAGAACTTCTGAAGCTCATCGCAGAATTTGATCCAATTATGAATTGCCACCTTTCGTATGTGCAGCAAAATCCAGGATCAACTACATACCTTTCGCCAGAAATTCAAAATGAATTTATCCAGTTTCTAGCAGCTGCAGTTAGAGAAAAACTTGTGTGTGATATCCAACGTGCCAAATACTATGGTATACTGTTTGATTCAACTCCTGACGCTGCTAATCAAGAGCAAATGTCGGAAACTATTAGATATGTAGATATTGACTTTGAGGAGAAAACTGTTGTTATAAAAGAGTGTTTCCTAGGATTCATTCAAACTCATAAAAAAGATGCAGCAAGTATAGCAGGTATAATATTACAACAACTAGAAAAAGACAAATTAGCTTTCAAAGACTGTCGATCACAGTGTTATGACAATGCGCCTGTAATGTCCGGCTACAAATCAGGAGTGCAACAAAGACTCACAGCACTTAACCCAAAAGCTATATTTGTTAACTGTGATAATCATACACTTAATTTAGTTGGGGTTCATGCTGCTAATCATGAGGTAGCTTCTTTGACGTTTTTTAGTACCATACAAGCTATCTATGTTTATTTTTCAAGATCAACTCTCCGATGGAAAAGACTGAAAACTGCTCTAGGTGTATCGTTGAAGTCGAAGTCAGAAACTCGTTGGAGTGCCAGAGTAGAAGCTGTTAAACTGGTACATGATCAACTCGAAACCTTAGTAGAGTTATTTGAAAATATTGCAGAGGATCATGATGAAAATGCAGATACAAGAAGTGATGCAATTCAATTGTTGCATCGGATCTTAACTTTTGAGTTTTTTGTTCTTCTTCGATTCCGGAATACAGTACTTGCCAAGATTGACAGGGTTCAGAAAAGGCTTCAAGACCCCACTATGAATTTCCACAATGCTGCTCGAGATATTCAAGCTTTACAAGACTATCTTCTACAAAACAGAGATGAGATATGCATGAAATCTCTTGGAGACGCCAAGGAACTGTGTAATGCTTGTGATGTCCAAGCTGAAAGACGACAGAGAAAGAAGAAGAAAATGCCTGGAGAAATTGCAGAAGATGTAGGACTCACAGCAGAAAATGAAATGCCGCGATTGATGAAAAGTATGCTGGACAAAATACACATAGAAATGGCAGACAGATTCATCAGCTTAAAGAAAGTAGACTCTAATTTTGGCTTTCTTTTAGATATAAATGGACTAATGGCTACAGGCTACGAAAGTAGCTTGAAACAGTGCTGAATTTCTATGGAAAACATTTACGATACAGACTTGGATGGTTTGGAGATGTAGACTGAAATAATGGACTGCCGAATGCTACTCAAGACAAGAGCTGATGTTAAGCTTTCGACGCCAGAGGACCTGCTTCGCTTTATTGTACAGTACGGAGAAGATGTATTTCCCAATCTAGAGAGTTGGTCTTCAGATTTTACTGACTATTGGAACCTCCATCGCCAGCTGTGAAAGATCTTTCAGTAAACTAAAACTTATCTTGTCCTACCTGAGATTATCCATGGTACAGGAAAGATTGTCTACCTTAGCTTTGCTCAGTGTGGAGCAGCAGGTTGCCCAGAGTATAAATTTTGATGAACTAATCGATAAATTTGCAGCAGCTAAAGCTAGGAAAATTTCACTTTGAAATTAGTGATTACGTTTGAAGCATTATACATGAAACTGTCATTATACATTTTCAAGTTATTATATTATTATATCCAATAAGATGTTTAAGTTTTCGGAATTTATATTTGAATAATATTTTAGAATAATCATATTTTCGAACTATCATTATTGTCTTCAATATTTTACTACGTTCTAAGTTGGTGACTTTAGAGAAACTTTTAAAGTATACGCTTAAAAGTACTTTAAAAATTAAAATATTTAATAATTTAAACTATTTAAAATTTAAAATATTTCATATTTTAGCAAATTATTATTATTTTAAACAATTAAAATGTTATTATTTTTAAAGTTTTCTTTTCGCTCCCCACTGCATTTTGGCAGATGGGGGGGGGGCGAAATCTTCACTTGTCTCCGGGCGCTGATAACCCTAGCTATGCCTCTGCCATCAAGAATACAAGGTACAAGTGCATATAAGAATCGCATACTAGCATTTTAGAATGATGCACTTAAAAAAAAGAATGAGAACTAAATCAAAAGGAAGGTTTTAGTGAAAATTTTAAAATGCAAAAAGAAATATAAATCTGATTATAAAATTTTATCTTCACATATATATGTAAATGTATGTATATATAAAGATTAAAATAAAGCACATTGTATCAATAAATGTATATGAAAAATATTCATTTCAGCAATTAAAAATTACATTTTTTTTTCAAGCTCTTAACATGAATTTCTGTATTTACATTTTCTGTAACAGAATCAGAAGGACTAGCAACAGTCTCTACTTCATTACAATTAATAGATTTCTTTTTGCGTTTTTTCTTAGTACACATTTCTAACTGATAAGTTTCTCCTGTTTCCTCCTTTTGCTCTCTATTCTAATTTAATTTCTCCACAGTTATTTTTTTGATAATGCTTTAGTGAATCTTGTACATCTGTCTTATTAGATTTGTGTTTCATTTTGCATTTCTTTTTAACATGAGTTTCTGATGTGCAAGTTTCTTTTCTTTCCAAGTCTACATTTTCTGCACCAATTGCAGCAAACCTGTTTTTCTCGTGATGTTTTTGTGCAGGAAATGAAAAAAAATCATTACTTTCCTCACAATTACCTTTCTCTTCACCATTACTACTTTTATATTGTATGTCTCTATCATTATATTTGTGCTTCTTTTTGTATTTTTTCTTTACATGAGTATTTGATTGATAAGGTTCTTCATTTTCCATTTCCTCTAAATTTACATTACTTGTAGAATATATATTTCTGTTATGTTTTTCGGATGTAGATGAATGAAAATTATCACCATCTTCATATTTTATGCTCTCATTTTTCTCTTCCCTATTATCTGTCTCATTATATTTGTGCTTTTTTTTTGCATTTTTTCTTAACATGAATCTCCGACTGATGTATTTCTGTTTTTTCCATTTGCTCTAAATTTACATTGTTTTTATTTCTATAATATTGTTTTTGTGAGGTACATGAATGAAAATCATCACCATTTTCATTTTTTACAAAGTTATTCTTCTCTTCACCACCAGCTGTCTTTCCAAAGCTTTTTTTCTTTTTGTGTTTTTTCTTCATGTGACATTCTGACTGATGGGTTCCTTTTGTTTTCTCTAGATTTAGATTCCCTAAATTATTTGTAATGGAATTATTTCTCTGAAGTTCTTCTTGTAAGACAGGTAAAGTAAAATCACCCTCCTCACAAAAATTTTTCTTTTCATTATTACTAGTTTTATACTGAATATCTGTCTTAATCTTGTGCTTCTTTGTAAGCTTTTTCTTAATAACAGTCTCTGACTGAACTTCTTCCTTTTGCTCTGAGTTTACATCACCTGCATTAGTTTCAGACCAGTTATTGTTTTTAAATTGCTTTTGTGAATTAGATGAAAGGAAATCATCATTCTCACTATCAATTTTTCTTTTGCTTTTATTTTTCTTGTGCTTTGACATTTTGATCAATGTATTGGAATTACTTACCTTATTAAGTTCAGTTCTCTCAAACATAGCAACAAAAAATCCATTTGTTAAATTTTTATCAGGATATGACCTTAAACATAAATTCCCATACTCATATTTTGGAGAACCTCGAACAGACCAATCGGGCATTATGTTCACTAATGTAAATTGATCTTGAAAACTATTTAATGCTTCATGTACAACATACTCATTTTCTTCTTCTGTAATAGAGCAGGTGGAATAGACAACTCTCTTTACATTTGGGAATTTAAGGGCATGCTTTAATAATACTATTTGAAATCCTGCTAACTTTTGCAAACGTTTTTCATTTTTGGAATTTTCAGTATCTGTAGCAGCATCCATACGATTAACCATTCCTGAGCCTGAACAAGTTGGATCCAGAAGTATATAATCAATATTTGAGTTTTTGTCATCAGCAGGATCAACTGTTCGGAAATCTTTACAATAAGTCTTACATATTTTAACATTACCATGTATTAGTGTGCTTTTGAGAATATCAAGCCTATCACTGTCTTTTTCATATGCAAATATTTGCCTGAAAAACGAAATAAAAATATTACTTCTTCATGCATTTGATATTTATTCATTTATAACTTTTCTATGTATTGATTTTATTCAATAAAATTAAATCAATAAACTTTGAATACCTGCATAATGTCTGTAACGTAAAAAAAATGGCACAAATAACAGACACAAAAATAATTTTATCACATGCAGTTAAGTATAACTATACAAAATTCTATATAGATTGAATGATTTTGTTATTTGAAGTATTACGTCAATAATGCAGCACTAACTGCTTCTTGCAATACATCAAAGTATAGCCTCAAAATTCACTTTTGTTCCAATTTTAAGACTACAATTTTATTCACTTCACCTGGTACATTCAATTTAATTATCTGAATCAGTCTAAGCCTAATATTCAAGTGACATTCTGATAGAGATTCATTCATACGCGTGAAGAAATGTGAAAATTCAAAACAAATCACTTACTCAATTTTGATATAAAATAATCAATGTTTAATGGCACAGTCTATTTAGATATAGGTCAGTTTATTACATAATTTGCATTTATAACTCATGAAAAAGTCTTGATAGTAAACATTACGTTATCCATTAAAAACTGTTAAAATAACAGATAATTTTGATAAATGATAAAATTTAACATTGTACTGAAGCATATTTTAACACATTCAAAAGTCGTTAATCTGGAATAATCTATAATCTGGACATCAAAGCTACAAACTTTCTGCACATGCGTCAACGCATAATGCGTTCACGCATGCGCGTAATACTTTTATGCATGCACGTTTAATATATAACGGACAGTATAAGCTAAGCTAAAATGACCTAATTATCTATTTCAGTTAATGTTGCAGATTGCGTTGTTCCTTAATTTTTGAATTGGATCTAGCTTATTATTTTTTGCTAGAGCAATTTTATAAAAGTAAGCTTGAACTTTCGATTATATCAAATAGAATTTCCGATGCTGGATCTACAAAGCGAAAGTACGTTTCGAAAATAACAAAAAATGGATAAAACAAAAAATGGATAAAGGCATATCCTTTGTTTCTCTAACCATTCCGAAATCTGTTTATCAATTTCCCGCTGCTCTGCGGGGGGGTATGTTGCGGCGCGCAATGAACTGGAAGTTGATCTGTATCTTCAGGGCAGATGTTTCTATTTTATTCAGCTTATAATTCCTTACTAAATGTAGTATTTCATCTCGATGTATTCCGTCTTTGATATGACTTAAATCGAATTCCTCGTCATCATAAATATCACAAGTACACATCAAACAGTTTTCTGGTTGCAATTTTCTAATTTCGACTATGCGTAATGTATGCTTTACGCATGCGCGCGTTGAAAGAAATATTTAATAAAGTAAACAAATAAATATTAAGCTTTTTTTTTTAAATTTTGATACCTTTTAGATCATAATTGCTCTTTATTTCATAAATTACGGTTTCATATTTTTAATTTTATAATTTCTGCATGCCATCTTACCAGATTTAAAATGATTATCTAAAATCCAGAAAAATCAATAATCCGGAATCGCCGAAGTCAATTACGGTTTCATATTTTTAATTTTATAATTTCTGCATGCCATCTTACCAGATTTAAAATGATTATCTAAAATCCAGAAAAATCAATAATCCGGAATCGCCGAAGTCAATTACGGTTTCATATTTTTAATTTTATAATTTCTGCATGCCATCTTACCAGATTTAAACTGATCATCTGAAATCCGGAAAAATCGATAATCCGGAATCACCGAAGTCCCGACGAGTCCGGATTAAGGACTTTTGACTGTATATGAAAGCTAAATATTTTAACATAAAACACAATAACTCTTCTTTAACAGCTAAATTAAATGTCCTTCAACAAGTTTAGCAAAAATAAAACTAGAATTTTGTTCCATTATTTTAAAATCCAAAATAATTTTCTTTGAATAATACTCATTTTCTCTATCTTAACTTTAACATCTTATAAATTTAGACACATCTCACTGAAGTTAGCTTAAATTCATTTTTTTCACAGAATACTTATAGTTTTCTCTATAATTAATAATTATAATCCCTTTCAGGTAAACTTCGTCCCGTTTCATGCTGACTATAAATTTATTGCCCCACATTATGAGGATAAACATTGTGATTTCTCCTAATTCACTTCTTGGTCTCTGTCATGCTAATGATAATACAGCCAAAATTTACCTAAAACTACAACTAAAAAGGGGGGGGAAGATAGAGAGAAGAACAACGAGTTCTAATCTTCAATTAGTTTCTTTAATTATTCATTAGTAAATTTCACATCGCCCAGTTATTTTCTCCTTTTATCTTCAAACCACATGACTTTATTTATTCTCCTCTTTCATTTTTGCTGAATTAGAATTACTTAATTCAGGTAGAGCACAGAAGGGCTATTTAACTTAGCTCCAACCCATTTTTGACTAAGGGTCCCTAACAAGGAATGAAATCGGAGAACTGTATAATCCCTGAAGATATTAATTCAAGTTTAAAACTACAGAATCTGTTTGAAATCAAGGCTAATATACATTATCACATATAAGTTAGTTAAGTTTCATTCAGGCATTTAATTATGACTAAAGATCATGTGACTATCTGCCTAGGAAGGAATTACTTTATGGAATATTTTTTTGGTGGAAACTTGTTTATATTTATACGAGTATAAATTATAAAAAAAGTTTGAAATTCCAGTCTATATTGGTAGGTGAGGCATTTCAGTACCTACTCAGCCATTAATATACCTCACCGTTTACAGAATATATATTCTGTAAATATATACAGCATTACTGATGAATAATCTAAAACAATCAGTAAATGTAATATAATAAGCATTTTGTGTTTTAAATTTTAGTGGTAGATTTTTAATTTTAGAAAGACATACTTATAAAAAATTTAAGAAGCAGCAACTGGCTATTTTCTTATTATTAAAAATTACAAAAACAAATTACAGATAATATATGCGAAGAAAAATTAACATGTTTTTAATAATCAGAAGACTAACAGTTACCTCAAACTCTCAAACTACATACTTGCTTATGTAATTATTTAATAGCTATCATAATACTATAAACAATATTGATAATTATGGTAAAATATTGCAACTCAAAGAAAATTCTTCTTAGAATTATGATTTCCCGTTTTATTTGAATGGGAATCTCAATAAAATGTGCATCATAGAGAAACATCAACGGACCTGATTTTAAATAGTTTTACAAAAAAAAAAAAAAAAAAAAAAAGATCATACATTTAAAGCAACTTGAGAATTTTTATTGCAAATAAACCTGGCAGTTCAAAATTTTTAACTGTATAACTAAAAAATTTCTATATAAACCTCACTGGTTGTCCTTAGATATCAAAATTGTATTGTGTTTCCATCCAAATGTATATTGGATCATGTCTAGGCTGACTGTATGAATGGCAATACGTGATCAATTAGCAACAGGTGGTTATTTTCCATAAATCAATCAAAATTATGTCAAATGATTGTAACACTTATTACATTTTGCATAGTACAATGTGCATCATACTTTAATTGCATGGTCGCCTTTTTATACAATATTTCTTAACTATTTTGGTATACAGTCAAAAGTCGTTAATTCGGACACCCATAATCCGGACCTCAAAGCTAAAAACTTTCTGCGCATGCGTATAGGCGTTTAAGTGTGTGCGTAAGACCTTTACGACTGCTCATTTGCGTGTGCACAAGCGCAGAATACGTTTTCGCTGCGCGTTTAATGTATAACGGACGGTATAAGCTAAAATTATATAATTGTCTATTTCAGTTAATGTTGATGATTGCATTGTTCCTTAATCTTCGAATTGGATCCGGCTTATTATTTTTTGCAGACTGTAAGAGCAATTTTATAAAAGTAAGCTTGAATTTTCGATTATGTCAAATAGAATTTCCGATGCTGGAGCTCCCAAAGGATCTACGAAAACGAAAGTATGTTTCGATGTCCATCAAACAAAAAGTGGAATTGCTCCAAAAAATGGATAAAGGCATATCCTTTGTTTATCTAACCGTTCCGAAATCTGTTTATCAATTTCACGCTGCTCTGCGCGCGCGGGGGGGGGAGAACGTGGCGGCGCGCAATGAACTGGAAGTTGATCTGTCAACACTATCGTTATCTTCAGGGCAGATTTTTTATTTTATTCGCTTATAATTCCTTATTAAATGTAGTAGTTCATCTCAATGTACTTTGTCTTTGATATGATTTAAATCAAATTCCTCGTCATTATAAATATCACAAATACAAATCAAATAGTTTTCTGGTTGCAATTTTCTAATTTCGGCTATGCATAATGTATGCTTTACGCATGCGCGCGTTGAAAGAAATGTTTAATAAAGTAAACAAATAAATATTAAGCTTTTTTTTTTTTTGTAAATTTTGATACCCTTTAGATCATAATTGCTCATTATTTTATAAATTACGGTTTCATATTTTTAATTTTATAATTTCTGCATGCCATCTTACCAGATTTAAACTGATGATCTATAATTCGGAATCACCGAAGTCCCGACGAGTCCGGATTAAAGACTTTTGACTGTAATTAAGAAAATTCATATATCAAATGGTGATTTAAAACTGCATCCATCTATTCTTATGACTCGCTATTACATACATTACTCTTATATACATTTTATGCATAACTGTAATTAGAATAGTAATAATTTACAATTTTATTAACACTTCAAAGATAACTGAATTTTCTCTGCAATCTGCATACTATTTAACAGGCATGAAAGTGCAAGTTGGCAAAAAAAGCTGAACAAAACGCGGACACAAAATTACACAAAAACTAAATACGCACGCGCGACCTCAAAAAACCACATTTTAATAAAATATCAACCTTTTAATAAAAAACGTATGCATATAATTAAGCTAAAATAATACTTGTACTTACTATTTTGCTATTAATTTTATCTTTTTATAGAAGAAAAAAAAAAAAAAAAAAAAAACAGTAAATCACCAAGAGATTGTAATGAATTAACCTTCTTTAAGATGCTCTTTATGTAACTTAATTTAACAGTTGATACATGAATACTGTACACAACATTACAACACACTAATATACATATTTATGTTATATATTACTGCCCATTTCCAGGCAATGAGAAGTTTTAGATATTATATATATATATATATACATATATAACTGTTACTATAGCTTTCAATTATCTTCATTTTTAGTTCAATAAACAGTACTTTATATAACACAAGAAAAAGTAGTCATATGAGATAATATAGTCACAAAATAACATAACATATAGTTAAAGGAGGAATTTAAAAAATAACTATTTTGTCTGTCTCACTCGAACTTTTTTTTTTTTTTTTGCTACTTTTGCAGCCAACTTTTCTAATTTCTGTTTGCGAGCTAGTCTCAATTTCTTTTCAGCAGCTTTTATACAATCCATTGATACTTCTTTATTTTCTGCAATGTTTAATTGCTTTTTTTTTTTTTTTTTTTTTTAGATTCTCGCTCCTCTTTTTTTTATCTCTAGCTCTTCTTTGTACAGTTTATGAGCATTCCTTAAATTTTTACATAGAGTTTTGTGTACTGCAGAATGCAAGTGGTTATCCGTATGTCTGACAGATGGCACCAGCACCGATCGCTGAAATTATTGAAGTCAACTCTTGTTTGATGGTTGCTTGCTCTTCTTTGATTCGATATTCGTACGCATCTAGTTCCGCCTTTCCACATAAGCCCCACCTACTTCGCCTTGATGTAAAACAATGTATTTCGCGATCTCTCATGGACCTTATAAGAGATAGACTAACCCAGTGGGTGGGGTGCGTGTCACCGTCATGTCCGCAAGAAAGAGTAGGGACGATCTGGTTTACTTTAACACTGAAACCTATTGCGTTTGTATCACATAACTGTTTTTAATTATTAAATGTGATATGTTGTATAGTAATGAGATTATGAAAGTCACGGTTTTTTTCAAATAGGATTTAATACATCTCATTAAAGAACATTTTACTGCATTTCGTGCATTTTCTTCACGCGTAATTCTTGTACAAACATCTTTACTTAAACGGTAAAAACTCTTAAGCAAAAAAAATTATGAACTTAATTTTGCGTAAAAATAAAGTAAAATTAAATAAGATTGATGGTATGTGATGCTTTGAAATAATTAAGGTAAAATTAAACAAGATCTGATTTTTTTTTTTTTTTAATTTAATGAACATTTTCAGGCAGTGATTTTCAAAACTATAATAACACTACAAAACAATTATTTATTTGATTATGTCATCATTAAATTATTAACATTAAAGTGGATTATTTATTTTAGTGATTTATAAAATTTGGAGCATACAATTTTTTGAGTGTAATGAAGGGGAAAAAAGATAAAATCTAGAAGCACTCAGATTATATATTATGCCCAAAAGGAACCTTTTTGCAACATTTTGTGTGTTACCTATATTTATTGAATATCATGTTCTTTGCCCGTAAACCACATTTGAAACATCTCCTGTAACATTTGAAAGCAGCATATCTTTAGAATTTCCGCACTGGAGATAAAAATGTTATTTTTCGTAGTGTTGCCATTGCTCGCTTTAAAATTGTTGAATTTGTTAATCAAAAATCCGTTAAACCTTTACCAAATATGAAATAGATAATAAAACAAATTCGAAATTCGGCTGTCAGATGCCCATGTTCGGGTGGAGGATTACATTATTCAAAATTTGATGGCTCTAGATACTGTCGTTTTTGCCACAGTGCGAGAAACATACATGTATTCATGCAGATTCTTCATTATTTAATTTATTTAAATATAATACAGGGCAATAATATTTGGTAACAACAATTTGCAAGGAGATGCAGAGATTTACAATGAAACAGCGCAAAATGCCGCTTCGAGCCAATAAATAAAATTAACCGTAAATAAAAAAAAAAATCTTATGCAGAACTAAAAATAAATTAAAAAAATAATCACTGTAAAATACAAACAAAATTAATTATTATGGTTAAATACAATTTTAATATTAGAATTAAATGTATAAAAATTAAGGAGTCAAAAGTGTCTATCAGTATGATGTATTATGAAATATAATTGAAATAAAATTCCTTTATAGAAATTGTGCACTAATACTCATCTACAAATTAAAAAAAGCAGCCCAATTTAGTATTTTAAACAAAACTTTCAAAATTTTGTTTTCAAATATTTTAGTATTTTTTACTTATTTACACCAATAAAAAGCATAAAAATGCTTGTTTGAAATTTTCTATTAGTTAAGATTAAAAATATTATTTTCTAAAAGAAGTAATGTCAAAAGTCGTTAATCCGGACTCGTCGGGACTTCGGCAATTCCGGATTATAGATCATCAGTTTAAATCTGGTAAGATGGCATGCAGCAATTATAAAATTAAAAATATGAAACCGTAATTTATGAAATAAAGAACAATTATGATCTAAAGGGTATCAAAATTCACAGAAAAAAAAGGCTTAATATTTATTTGTTTACTTTATTAAACATTTCTTTCAATGTAAGTTGTTTAAGTTACTTTGTGCTATGTGATAATACTTTCTCTTTAATTCTATAAACAGACATAATTTCTTCTTCAGTTACAAAGTTCCACTGTTCAAGTCCTATAATTGCTGTGTCGAAAATACCGACTAATTTGTCAATCGAAATTTTTTCGTTTTCAATAACCTCTGCATCACTTTCTTCACTATCGGAAGCGAATTATAATGACGAGAATTTGATTTAAATCATATCAAAGACGGAGTACATCAAGATGAAAACTACATTTAGTAATGAATTATAAGCCAAATAAAGTAAAAACCTCTGCCCTGAAGATAAGGATAATGCTGACAGATTAACTTCCAATTCATTGCATGCCGCGGCGTTCCCCCTCCCCCCTGGCCGCAGAGTAGCGTTAAATTGATAAACAGATTTCAGAATGATTAGAGAAACAAAGGATATGCCTTTATCCATATGTTGCAGCAATTCCACTTTTTGTTTGATGGGCATCGAAACATACTTTCGCTTTGTAGATCCTTTGGGATCTCCAGCATCGGAAATTCTATTTGACATAATCGAAAGTTCAAGCTTACTTTTATAAAATTGCTCTAAGAGTCTGCAAAAATTAATAAGTGGATCCAATTCGAAGATTAAGAAACAAAGTAATCTGCAACATTAACTGAAATAGATAATTTTAGCTTATACCGTCCGTTATACATCAAATGCGCATGCGTAAACTTATTATGCGCAGCCGTAAAGGTCTTATGCGCATGCTTCAATGCGACGCATGCGCAGAACATTTGTAGTTTTGAGGTCTGGGTTATAGATCATTCCGGATTATTGGTGTCCGAATCGACTTTTGACTGTAGTTACAAATTTCCTTACAGCATAGGAAAAGCTAAAAAAATGTCTACCTCTGAAAGCATGCTATAGCTCTATAATTATTTGGAACGCTAATTATGCTTGATAAATATGCTAAATTTTTAAAAAATCAATCTCATTTTCAAAAATAAAAATATAGAGAAATTCTAATTTGTGAAATGAGGCGCCACAACCAGCTTTCTCTTGACAATTATACACAGCACAATAGGCAACCACTGTTAAATTTCGGCAATTCGTCCCTACTCCTCCAGATGTGATCAAGGTGACAGCCGGGAACGCGTCAGACGAAGGAGAAAACTCATTTGGGTTAGTCTATTTCTTATAAGGTCCATGTGATCTCTGGCATGATATAAAGTTTTTTTACAAAGAAAAGATGGAGAGAGCCTGCCCTTCGTTTACCCCCCCCACCACCACCACCACCACACACACATTTGCTGGTCGCGATTTCTCAATGGTTCTACATTGATCTCAGAAACAGCCCGGGTGACGTTTAAAAAAGCGGAATTCCGCAAAAACACAGAAAACTTTCATGCCTGATTTAACCACAATTATAAATATTATACAATTCAGTAATAAAAATTTAAAACATGGCATAATTTTGTTAGAAATGCAAGAAAAATCAAATAACCTTTCTACTATAACTCAAAATTTCAAAATTACCCTTGATTTTTCATGACAGCAGCTATATGTGCAGTTTTCATTCCTGGTGCAGCGCATGCATCCACAACATTAGACCCACGCTGTGGTGAAAGAACACAAACAGGAATACAACTAGACTAAAAGAAAATATTCAGTATGATTATACAGATATTAAACAACTTTATTTTTGAAATTTACAAAAACAGATTGGCAAGTAATACATGAAATGAAAAGAAAACTATTTAGTTACTTTAAGAAATGTTTTACGTGTATAACAGTTTGGTTGTCTGAAGAAAACAATAACTGAACTTTTGTTACATTTCTTTCAACACATCCTTTGTTACTATCTCCACAACACTGATTATGCATTTTTTAATATTGTCATGTAGATCCAAAAGCGATGAAAACAACGATGGAATAGTAGGAACATCTTAATATAATTTCAAAGTGAAAACTCAGTAAGATCTAATGAAATAAGAAGGCTGGATTCAGAAAATAAGTTATGGAGCCACCCACTGAAACTTATTCTTTGACAGCTCTTCATTCACAAAACGTAACACTCCACATCAACATTTTGTGGATCAAAAACATTAAACTTTGGAAATCTTTTCATTTGACAGGTTGTATAATATGATAATTAAAGCAATGGAATTATGTTCATCTGAAATAGGGTCAATCATTCTAAATAATGTAAATGTAAAACTTGCTTATACCTATTTAAAATGAATTTGCTGTATTATAATAAATGCATTGAATTCAATACTTATTTTCTTAAATGTTCCACTTATAGCATTTTTAATAACTTTATAAAGATGTTTTTAACAGAAATTTAAAGAGAATTTGTTGTGTTACAATAAATGCATTAAATTAAAACACTTATTCTTTCAGTATTCTATCTGATGGCTCCATCAATGAACTCTCAGATTACATTTTGGTTCATATTTCTATGATAAAAAAAAAAAAAAAGTGTTTCATTCAGTTAGCAGTAATACTTTTCTCCAGCTTTTTGTTTTACTGCTTTAAATAACACATGCAATGTTTTAAGTCTCATTAAATCAGTATTCCTTCTTATCATTGCAAAAGCACAATAAGACACAGATACTAATCAGAAGCTTTTAAAGGGGGAAAAAATTACCAATTTCATGCCTATCTAAAATTAATTTCATGCCTTTATCTAGGTTAATTTGGAAAGTCTTTACTGTTTAGATAGAAGTATGACACTTGTAGACAGACATAGCCATAGAGTTGTATTACTATTAGTTTATTACTGAACTAACATGTCATTAGTTAATTACTGAATAATATGTAATTTCATTATTGAATAATGTGTAATCTGATTTACACATCATTATGGGCACTATAGGAACACCACAATTTTGAAAGCTTAATACATTTTAAGACAATGGAAAGAAAGAGACTAGGTGCAACATGTTAGCAACAGCCAAGAAAGCGACTGCGAATTCAGAACAGTCAAAAGTTTTTGGTTCTTAATAGAACTTTTGATCTGTGATAGGATAAGATGTGTCCGCATTGCAGGGTTACAAAAGAAAGCATGATGCAGATTTTGACATGATGCACTTTAGATTGATATATTATAAATAGCTACTAATTTTAGGACACAAAGGGGGAGAGGATAAGAAGAAATGCCCAAATTAAAATGAAGGATTAAGGGTCTACTGCCAATTAAAATAAGAAGTTTAATTTACATATTTTTATTTTACATGTAACCCCTTCCCTTCAAACAGAAAAAGGCTTGGTGATAGAAAAGCTGTACCCTCAGTGTCTTTTTGTCGAATGGGACCAAAAGTAAACTTTCAGTTTTGTCTACCGAAAAATCTGCCTTCTTGCCCGCTGGCCGAATTGCTTGTTTTTGTGTAGAAACTTGAAGTTTAATTGTAAAAATTGTTTTAACTGTATCTAGTATTTTATATTTTTCAATTTTTAATAAAGATATTTTGAGGTTTCGTGTATTTTTGCACTGCCACAAAGTGAGAACTGAATTAACTGAATGAGAAATGTATCTCTAACGAAATTCAAAGAAACAAAGTTAAATGAAATTCAGCAAAAAATGCATACAATTTAATATTCTGTACAAGGAAGTTATACGGTGTACACATCAGATTTTTTTATTTTTCATAATAGGGAGATTTAATTTTAACTCTTTTATCAACTGTTTAATTTTCTATCATATGAAAATTCAGAAATAATTACAAATTCTTCATTGAAACTTTCTGTGAATTGTTGAACACATTCTTCTTCATTTCTTTCAGTTTTTTTTAAGTTATGGACATTTAAATAAATCTACACTTCATCAAGTCATGATGCATATTCATTTATATCCAGTGAAATAATTCTGAAGCATGTTTTATATTCCGTCAAATTAAAAAATGATCATTGCTATTTAATTTTTTCAAGATTTAAATGTTTATTATTATTTTGTTTACTGTTAAAACACAGATATATAAAGACATTAATAGTTTTTCATTTATTTAGTTAGTTTGGGAAGCATTTTTTTTTAATTAAAGATTTTACTTTTGAAACAGACTCAAAAAAAAAAAAAAAAATATTCCTTTTGACATTTCTTTATTGCTTTTCCTATACTTTGTAGTTTTTACCTTTTATACAAACAACAATATTTATTATTTAAAAATATTGATTTCATGCTTTCAATTATATTTCTCGCTGGAAAAAAGACAGTTACAGCCTTTTATTCAAAATTTGTTTACATGCTTCATTTCTTAATCAGAAGCTATTTAACTATATCAGATGATAGCTTTACGTATTACCAAATATGAAGTAACTCAAAGCACTACCACATAGTTTTCTGGAATATTTTTTTTTAAATCTTTCTCATTAAAATCATTCTGAAAAATATGCATATAATTTCTATATATGAAATGTTATATAAAAGAAAATGGTGAAAGGTAAGTTGTCTTAGAAAATTTTCAATTAAAAGGCAAATAGACATTTCCAGTATTTCAACATAGCCATAAATATTGAACAGCAACTGCATTCAGATATGAGACAAGATGTGTTAGATTCCAGGAATGCAAATTACAACATTTCCTTTGAAATGGAAGAAAAGAAAGTTCAGAGATCCACCAGTAGCTGGCAGAAATGAGCATTAGCAACTCTTTAATAGTTCTACAGTAAAATGCACTATTCTTTTACCACAGCTCATTACTAAAATGTTTTATTTTAATTTTAATAAATATAATTTTAATTTTTGCTTTTAATTTCATATAAGCATGAATAATATATAAATATTCTCAAGCATTAGGCAGCTGTGTTCTAAGAAAGGAACAGACGAATCTAATTAATCAAAGACTGACAGAAGGCAAAAACCTCAATAATCATACATTTATTTTTAAGATAGAAAAAAGGAAAGTAATAAAGAAAATAATTTAACAATTTTTATCCTACAGTAATGCCAGTGTGACACTGGAATACCATTACTTTAGAACTCTAGAACTCTTTTATTATCAACAACCTCATAAAACGTCATCAACTCAAAGGCAGTTTTCTGGAATTGGTGAAAAACATTTAGTTTTCTTTATATTTCATAAGTATTATTTTGTTCATAAATACTGCTTAAAAAATATTTTATAAAAAAACATAAAATTTCATTTAAAAAAAGGCAAAAATTTATCAATCTAATACTTGAATTTTTACAGCTGGTGGATAATTCAACCATGTCCTTCAAAAGTACTCAAACACACATAAGTATACACATGCATGTGTGGCTATTGTCATGTACATACTCCAAAATATCTCCCAAAAATGGCAATTCTACCGAATGCTGAAACCTGGAAGGGGGTAGAAATATTCAAAAATTAACTATTTTATATAATAAGTATTATTTCTTACCTTATCTTGAAGAAATATATGTCCTTGATTATATAAATCCCAGGTTCTAAGATTCTCTTTGCACGGAAACACCAAAAGGTCTTTAAAGTGATAGTCAATCAGAAATTCCCCTGGTTTCAAATTTTTCACCTTCTCAAGGTACCTACAAATTGAGAAACAGATGCTGTATTTTAACCACAAAAATACACTATAACTATCTTGCCTAAAATAGTAAATAAACTAAAATAAATAACACTTTTATTTTATTTATTTGTCTATTTTACTCTGGATCAAGCAGTTTCAAATATTTAAATCTCACTCTAACCAACTGATGACTACAGACATAAAAAACTAATACAGTCAAAAGTCTTTAATCCAGACTCTTAGGGACTTCGGCGATTCTGTATTATCGGTTTTTCTGGATTATAGATCATCAGTTTAAATCTGGTTAAAATGGATACAGAAACAATTAAAAATTAAAAATATGAAACCATAATTTATGAAAAAAGAGCAATAGATCTAAAGGATATCAAAATTTACAAAAAAACAGCTTATATTTATTGTTTAATTTATTAAACATTCTTTCATAAAGCATACATACGAATAGTCGAAATAGAAAATTGCAGCCAGAAAAATATTGATGTGTATTGATATATATGACGAGGAATTTGATTTAAATCATATCAAAGACGGAATACATTGAGATGAAATATTATTAGAAGGATTATAAGTGGAAAATAAAATAAAAATATCTGCCTGAAAGATAAGGCTGACATCACCTTCCAGTACAGTGCACGCCGCGGACATCCCCCCCCCCCCGCAGCGCGTGAAATGATATAAAGATTTCAGAACGGTTTAGAGAAACAAAAGGATATGCTTTTATCCATTTTGCAGGGATTCCACTTTTTGTTTGATGGACATCAAAAACATGCTTTCTTTGTAGATTCTTTGGCAGCTCCAGAATCGGAAATTCTTTTTGACATAATCGAAAGTTCAAGCTTACTTTATCAAATTGCTCTAACAGTCTGCAAAAAATAAATAAGCGATCCAATTAGAAAATTAAGAACAACACAATCTGCAACCTAAATAGATAATTAGATAATTTTAGCTTAGCTATATACATCCGTTTATACATTAAACACGCATGCAGAAAGTTTGTAGCTTTGAGGTCCAGATTATAGATCATTCCGGATTAAAGACTTCTGACTGTATATCTCACTTTCACCATAAACTATGTACTTTATAACAGAAGGAGATGCACTTTTTTTACCCATACTTGTACTTTCTACTCATATGGACTGAACAGTTATCACTAATAACACACTAAAAGATGAAAAAATTTAAAATTTAACTACATTTCTTTAAATTAGGATCAAAGAATACAATTGCTATTATTTTTTTTAAACTAATTTATATTATCCTTATAGGCATTCCTTAAATATATTCACTTCATTAAACTTTTACAAAAGATCCATATTAATACTCTTTTAACAACTTTTTTTAGGATAAATAAATATCCTAAAAAACTAATAATAAACTGAAAGACTATTTTAACTTTACAAAGAAAACTGAAAAGCAAAAGTATGGTTCAGCGACTGTTTAGTGAAATCGCTTCAGAAAATTATGACAAATTATCTTCTAGAATTCAGGTGTAACGTGATTTTTTGCATAATGTTCTGATTGCCTGAAAACAGCTACACAGTTAAAAAGAAAAGGATTAGTCTTAGTAGCCATGCATACTATTTTACTCAAGCATTTTGCATCACTCAGAACACAATACATTTCAGCTTTTGGAAATGTACCAGGGATGCACAGAACTGTACAGTTAACTTATGCATATAAATAATGATAACAAATGATTGTCTGCGCTTCTTTTCTATCCTGCAGACCCTGTCTCTTCCATTAACAGATCTCTGACATCTCAATGAACCCCGACCACTTCATTCATAGTTTCCAGCGAGCTCCCTTTACCTTCAGTTTTGAAAGATGAAATAACAATTATACATATGCTACATTTATTTATATGATAATGCAAAACAAAAAATAATATATTTAAAATTCATTCCATATCCAACTCAGAACATATGGGGGGGGGAGTATAGCAGCAAACTGCAAGGAAAAAACAAAAAATGAAAAAAGAGATTTAAATCTGTTATCACATGGTCATCAGTGATGGGAATGGTTAGAGAAACGAAGGATATGCCTTTATCCATTTTTTGCAGCAATTCCACTTTTTGTTTAATGGACTTCAAAACATACTTTCGCTTTCTAGATCCTTTACATATTAGTAAAAATATCGGAAATTCATTTGATAATCGAAAGTTCAAGTTTACTTTATAAAATTGCTCTAAAGTCTGCCAAAAAACTAATAGCCGGATCATTCGAAGATAAGGAACAACGCAGTCGCAACATTAACTGAATTGATAATTTTAGCTTAGCTTATACCGTTGGATCATTAAACGCGAAGCGTATTATGCGCAAATGCGCAATGCATATTCGCAGCCGTTAAAGGTCTTATGCGCATGTGTCAACGCGATGCATGTGCAGAAAGTTTGTATCTTTAAGGTCCGGATTATAGATCATTCCGGATTATGTGTGTCCGAATTAACGACTTTTGACTGTAGTTGAAAGTAGACATTCAGATGACAAGGGACTTTCTAGCATCAGATAGTAACCAACTTAAAATTCTAAAAAAAAAATAATTTTGTCCCAATTATAATGGTCATCAAAATTAAAGGATAATAGCAGAAATAAGATGTAACTGATACTTAATGAAAAATTAATACAAAATGGTACAAAAGCATTAGTTAATATACATTACAATGTTTGGCAGTTGATTTTTTGCAAGTTATTGAAGTGATTGATTTGATTTATTGGAATTAAAACCAAATTTCTGGAAACTGGAAAATGATGGAAATTTTTTCCTTATGGTAAAATGAAATTCCTATAGTAAATGTAGGTGTTATTATTTCTGATTATTGAGTTCTATATTGTGAAAAATCATGCTTTCAAGACTTTAATTTGAAAGCATTTTACTTTAGATCTTATTACACTGAACATTAACTTTTTAGCCTATTTTCCTGTTCATAAACGATTGCTTGCTGAGAAGATTGAAGAACATTTCTGAATATTTTTTGTAGCATGATTATGTACATGTATTAATGTACAACTTTCAGCTGCAATAATTTTGAAAAACTGCATACATTTGAAAATATACATAAAAGTACAATTAATTTAAACTGATAAATTTAGTATGGATCTAAAAAGTAAAAACTGCATATATTTTAGAATAAAAAAAATTAATATAAATAAGATTTTTTTTTTTTTTTAAGTAAACTCATTTACATTGAGTATAGCTTTTATCTAATGGAATATATATTCTGAAAAAATACAGGAGAAAAGTGTTTACCAGTTTCCTAGAATAGATTAAAAGAAGTGCATTGTCAGAAGTGAACAATATTTGTAGATAACAAAGTAAGACAATTATTTTTTGAGTTAAATTTTGGCAGTCAGATAATATTATACATATTCTTATGATTAATATACACAGCTCATTTTGTGACAAAATGTCATAATTTACAACTTGTTACTAACACTGAATATGAAGCACTGCAAACATTAGCAACAGGTCATAAAGTAGATTCTAAATTTCAGAAAAAATAGTGAAAATATATACATGCTATCACATGAAGTAATTGCATGCAACTATAACCAACAAAATGTTCATTTTGAAAATCCTTAAAAAGCATTTCACAATTGTATTTTGAGTTGTTAGTCATGTGCTGTAAGAATGCAATACACATTTTATCAGACATGTTGCATAATCATACAGCTGCAATGTATTTTTATACAACATGACTAATAAAATTTTATGCACAGCAAAATTAAAAAGAGGCAGACCCCCCTTAAATCAAAAGAAAAGAAAAAATTCTAATAGATTTAAAAAAATCTTAACCCTTTGATGGTTATGAACGAGTTCAGCTCGCAATCGAATCGTACTTCAAAATGCGCGCAAACGAGTTCCGCTCGGGAGCAAGATTTTGACCGAAATGTTAGTAACGAGCACACTAGGTAGTGAATTTTTCCCAATGCGCTGACGAGTGACTTCGTTCGCCATTATTATTCTGCTGATTCTGTTCAAAGATGCTACTCGGAAATTTAGTTTCGGTGTAAAGATAGCAGTACGAGTTCCATGAATTTCTTGCATAATGAAGGTGGATTTTTCTTGACCTTGTTATTGATACGTTTTTGGCCAGAGTTTTTTTTGAGGGTGTTTGTACAAAAAATGCCCAAAAGCGAAAATTTAGATAGGTTATGATGATGATTATATGTGATACAGGAAGATTATAAGTTTTGAATTGATGAAGACTGTTCACAGTTATTCAAGCTCAGAAGACGATTCAAGCGAATGAGGGAAAGATTTTTGAGTGTTCGACAGTGTTCTATAATTGATTCAAGTCTCACGCCCTAGCTGATGTTAGTTTTAATGGTGATGTAGGCATGAAAGCTTGCGTGACAAATATTTCTGAAATTCTCTTTTAGAAAGAACCTACTAGACGATGTGTGGTATTGCAGAAAAATGATTAATGGAAAAAGAATTCGCGGAAAACTACGTATTGCCAAGACTGTAATGCCCCATTGGTGCAATTCCATGTTTTAAAGTATACACACACAAAAGTTGTAGGTGGTAATTACTGTATTTTAGTGCTCATAAAGTTTTTACATTAGTTGTATTTATTTAGTCCTTTCAGTTTAATATTTGTCTTATTTATAATTCACTATTATTATTATATAATTATTATAATTATTTATAAGTTTACTGTTTAATAATTATTTTAAATACGTAAAAAAAACTACAATACTTTAAGAAATTTTTAAAAGCGCGAGGCGAGCTAGCTATCTACGGCATCGCCAGAGAAAGGTGACATTTTGGAAGAACAGCAGGGAAAAACAGCTGCCACTTTCGACTACTGTTTACTCCTAATGCTGCGCGAATTAAGTAAACGGAAACTGCTCATTTCCATAACCGTCAAAGGGTTAATTATATTGTAGAGACATTAGACATTTTTTTTAAATCAGGAAATTGAAGAAATAAGCATTGCCTTCGACGGGATTTAAACCACTGACCTCTCAATACATGCCAAGCGTGCTGACCACTACACAACGAAGGCATGCTAAGAAGTTGGGAAAAATACCTTATATACTCCTCCTTTTATGGGGCGACTGGGGATTAGGAGACCTAATCGCCAAATCCTGGTGGTGGAGAATTATCATCCACCACCTTTTTCAGTTCGGGTGCCACTGTAGAGACATCGGGTATTTTTTTTAAAGCAAAAGAAATAAAAAATGAGTAATGCACTCACAGGGACTTGAACCACAGACCTCTTGATACGCAGTGAGTGTGCTGACTGCTACACAACAAAGGTGGGTGAAATACCTTATAATATAATAAAAAACTCAACCATGTTTATGATATACGAAAATCTAAATGAAAGTCTTATGACTCATTTTGAACTTAAATCCTATTCTAGAAGAAGAGAGAGAGAGAGAAAGCACCAAATAAACTGGTATGTCTCTTAATAAAATATTCTAATTTACTAAAACAACTATTGTTTCTCAAATTCATTAAAAAAATTACACATAAAAAAAGTTCTTTTCTGGGATATGTTTTTTGTTTTACATGATTTAATAAAATAATTCAATAGGTTTTAAAGCATCATAACAAAAAGTAATTCCATAAAAATATTTGCTCATTCAAACTTTAAACTTATTATTTCTTACGCATCTTCTGAAATGTCCTCTTGATATTCTTTATGATAATACCCAGATTTCTTTAAATCATCCAGTACATCGGGCATAGTAGTTAATAAGGTATTAATTCTAGCATACCTTGGAATGGTGATCATCACTACAAAAAATATTTAAATCAGTTTTAATTTCATACTGCAATTAGAATATCCAACACAGAAGAGTTAATATCTTTTATTATTATTATTTACCTTCCTTCATAAATCTGTCAGTTCCAGCCTTTGTTAGGCATTGGTATGCACTTTCAATATCATTCTTATACTTCAGTATGGTAAGCACCGGCTTGCTTTTCCCACTCAGTTGACCTCTACCCAAAACCATCTCATATATCATAATTTGAGCTACTTCTTTCTTCAGATAAGGTTCCTTAGTTAACAAATGAGTTTCTTCAATAATTTTATCCAATAGTTGGATATTCTTCAAAACATTATGAGTCAAAGCATATATTTTATTAAAATACTAGAAAGAAAAAACAAAAAATTAGCATCTCTGATAATAAAAACCAACATTTTGAATGCAAATAAATCTTAGAATTTTAACACTGTAATAGTTAAATTTAGAAGAGAAAATTTTGGTAAATTCACTTAAGTAAATAATTGAATTGCTTCTATATTAAAGGTTAAGTTGTGTCAATTACTCATTTATATGCTCCCAGACAGGGATTCATAAAATTAGATAGGTGATAAGGTTCATATAGATGGGTAACTATGAATCACCCATGTGTGATCATATAAATATAATTATACCAAATACATATTGCTATTTAAAAGTTAATTACTAAAGTAAAGCTTTGTTAATATTTGCTCCTAATTTTTTTTAATTCAAATTATTTCCCTTCAAACCTCTTTCTTTATACAGCTTTCCAAAGCTACATGCTTTGGCATAATTCATACCATAAACAGATGGAGCATATAGTAAAATCTGTGCTCAGAAAAAAATTGTTGCAGTATTATAGCAAGTAGACAAACAAAAAAAGGCACATTAAATGCAAAACTATAAACAATGGAGACCTACAAGAGGGATTGCAAAATATGGAAAAACAGTATAAAAACTCTTTAACAATCACAAGGTGGGACAGGGCAGAAAGAAAGAAATCTGCAGACCCAGACAAGGGAAAATATGAAGAGGGGGGAAAGAGGGATTAATCAAAAATACAATGAAAATAAAATGCAAATACAATGCCAAAAAAAAAAAAAAAAAAGTTAAACATACACATAAAACTGCAAGTTCATATAATTAAAACGTAAAGTTATAATCCTGAAGAGGTTAGTAAAAGTCTTTAAATAAAATCTTGTATGCTTATTTACTTCATTTAGGAAATCTAGAGTTTTGCCTGTAAGAACAAATATTTAATTGCTTGTAACATTTTCAGTTGTATCTATGAATGGGCTTTTTAATAGATAGGACTTTTACGCTATGGTTAATTTTCTTATTCAGAATAGGAGGCATAACAGATAATTATGAGAACAGTTACATTAGATAAATTCAAAGTTTACACAGGTCTAAAATAAAGATCTGAAAACAAGATATCTAAGTCTGTAGGCAATTCAAATAATTAGGACCAAGACATGGTCATTCCAAGTGAATCTTTTGACAGATAACCACATTTAAGTAGTTGGCACTAGCAACTGTAGTGACCTGGATACCAGAAACACACAAATCATTGCCGAGACATCTGTATTTACGATGTTAGATAATTTGTATGATTTTCAGGTTTAATGTTGTTCTTATGGTTAGAATATCATTTCTCTGTCACATCTCTTTCCTCTACATAATGAAAAAATATGACAGCACTTTCAACTACTTCAATGATGGTCTTTAAGTCTACCATGGAGAAGAATGTAATGAGTGCAATCTTTGTTCCTGAGTTCGGGAACAAACAGATCTTAATACATTCAAATCCTTTCTATTCTGTCATTAAACAAATATGATGACACAGAATTCTTAACCTTTAACCACTGTGACTTAAATTGTCGCATAACTACTGTGAGCGGTCTCTCAGACCGCTTCTGCTAAAAACAAAATAAGATATTATTTTACTTTTCTTATTTGAATAAATGTTATTTAATTTCATATATTTAACTTGTTCATGAAGATATAAAGCAATTTTTATACTTAAATCAGTTCATTAAAATAAATATATACTATGATAATAATTCCTTGCTTACTTCTGGATGGAAGAAGTAAATTTTAAATTCAACTTTTTTATTTTACATTAAAATTTGCGAAAGAATTGCTTTAATAAGAATATAGAAAATTAATTTTTATTTAAAAAATTATCATTCGTGCTGCATTTTATGCATACTTTTCAACTACGTTGTAGACATACTGGTTCTTTGCATTCTTTACATTTGTAAGCTGTTTTCCTTTTTTTTTTTTTTTTTTGCTCGATGGACAAATATAGCATTTTCTTTTTTTTTATCTAATTTATTGTCTTCGATCACAATGTTTCCTTCATCATCAGTTATTCCAAAAACTCTTCTTATTGTAAGTTTGAGTTCTTCAGGTAAAAATTATGAAGTTATCCTTAACTTTACATGAGACTGCACCGATTGAATTGCTAATGAAATCTTTTCGCTTCATTTTTGGAGCCAATGGGATAAGATTGAAATAATACGAATGCATTTATTGCACATATATCCAAGTTTCTGAAGAATATTGCCAGAGGCCAACATCGGTTTCTACGAGCAGTTGTATAGATTGAACGAAGAATAATATTTTGACTACGAGTTCGAACACCCTTGTTGGGCACTTGAATAGACTATTTGAATTAATTTTTTCTAATAAAAAAATCTCTTGCAGGAGAACATGGATTTTCATTTTCATCGGCAGATATTTCTGAATTTCTGTCGTGGTCGCTCTCTATAATTTCATCATGGGAACTTTCATCAGAGAACTCTAAATTAGACCGATTTCGAACTACGCATTAAAATTGTTCTTGGGTAAGATATATAGAACGTCCTGCACGCATTTGAAGCAATTTCAAGAATATTTATAAAAAAGCAAAATATGTAACAACAACAAAAAGTTAACTTTATCGACCGAAATTTGAATCGTATCTCCTGTGATCGGTCCCACAGACCGCTGAGGGGGGGGGAATTTAAAAAAATAAATAAATAAAAGAATAAATAGAGCTAGCAAAACGCAATTAGGTATGTGACCTTGGACAACTGTTTTAGGAAGGTACTAAGGATGGCAATACCCATTAATTATTCTAAGAGGTGGAAGCATTTAATGGAAAATGTCGTGCGGTCTAACAGACCGCTCGCAGCAGTTAAAGATTAAAATACATTATGTCTATCTCCTCTCAGTCTTAACTATCACAATGATAGGTACTAAAGTGGGAATCTTTAAGCTAGCGTATCATATAGCATAAGCTTTTATGAAAATAATATATGCTTATGTGATTCTGATGATGAAATTCTAAAATTCTTTAATTTTGTTAATAATTTTACAAGCAAATGGTAAGGTAGCTTTAAATTTTCAGTTTTAGGGAGCGTTATATAAAAACAATACAACAAATTACATGATTTAATTATACATAAATAAAGATCACTTATAATAATTACACAATGATATTATAGAGATTTTAATGTAATTTCTGGGCAAAATTGCTGTTTTCCCCCTTTTCAGTTATTTGATGCAACACAATAGTTGGAAGTAAAAACGTGATTATTCTTTGTTGAAATATGATTTTTGAACTGGGTGATTTAATTGCTAATGTGCCATTGAGGCTAAAAAGAAAATTAAAATTCAATAAAAAATGTTTTTTATTAAAATTAGCTTTATTTACATCTCATAAAATAATTAATGAGCTAAAAGTAGAAACGTAATTCCTCATATAGCTGCATAAGATTAAGCGATTAAATTCTCTTTACAAAATTCATCTAAAATTCCATATAAATAATAAAAACATAAGGTGCCCTTCATAAATTTATAAAGGCTTAACCTTTTGAAAAGAAAATTTGATTACTAGATTTCAGTATTTCAGTGCTCATGTTTTATCTCTGGCAACCGTATTCAAAACAATGTCTTTCAGTCACGCGCAACGCTGACATTTTGGTATTGAGTCTTTTTGGTTGCTGAAGTTCCAACAATTTTTATAAACAAGTTATGATATTTTTTGCCTTAGTTTTAAAATATGAGCTTGCAGAAATGGCAGCAATGGATGAAACTATAGTAAAATTTCTGCAAAAAATACAGAATTTTGCGAAGAATTTTCTAAAGGGAACAATGAAGAAATGTGTTTCCTAGACAGCCAGTCTTGCCGAGAGTTGCACAAAATTCCGAGGTTGCACAATTCTTTAATCTTGTTTAAGCGAAAACAGATCGCTGTGTACTTTTGGAGAAGTGCAAAAAATATTACAGGAAAATTTGAAGTTTTTTTTTAACATATCATATAATCTTTATTTAATAATTCAAATTTGTATTTTAAAATACTAAAGTAAGCTTTCTTTTCATACGTTGATAATGTTTACCGACTTATAATAAATATCGATAGTTTGGGAATCTCTTGAAAATAAAAAGAGGCTTGAAAACCACCAAGTGTTACCTGGTAAGTTACTTTTTATCTGTGAAAAATCACCGAATTGCACCATGGTGGTTGCATTAATACATAAGTAACAAATTATTTTTCTACTTTCAGTTATTAATATAATGAGAAATTTAAACAACAGCTTATTTTAATATAAAAACTCCTTTTAACTTTTTTTTAATCGCATCTGTTTAGTCCCAAAGACACATTAGCAATAAATTACTCGATTTAAAAATCATTTTTCAACAATGAATAATCATTCTTTTACATCCCACAGTTCTGCTACATCTAATAACAAAAAAATAAATAAATAAAAAGATTTTTCCCCAAAAAGTCTGAAATTACATTAAAACTTCCCATAAAATGAATTTAAAAGATATTTGCCAGTGGGGTAACTAGTAAAATTCATAGACTTTTAGTTTGTTCATCAAACGAAGATATGTGAGAAAAATCATTTCAACACCAAATTTTGAAAAAAATCTCTTCATCATATTGTATCAGTAAGTGTTAGTGAAAAATGTGAGCTTGATAGCTTATCAGGGAATAGTTTAACATGATGGCATGACCAAGTTAAATAAAAAGCTTATGAAAAATGTAGGTACTTAAAAAACATCCTAAAAAGTTCCCTAATTAATATCTTTTCATCATTCTCATCTTGAAATAGGGTGAAGAGTTTCTTTTGCAGCCTTTGTAAGTTTCAAATTTTTATGATGGACGCATTTTGGGGGTGTTAGAATTTTTATATCTTGTAAAAATATATATTATTATATACCACAATAAAACTAAGATGATCAACTCTTATAATGGAATGCTGAAAAAAAATGTACACAGTACAAAGTCCAAGATCAAGAATTGTTGAGACTTTGGCAATTAAAATTTAGAACAGTTTAAATCTACTGAGATGACAAGTAGACATGGCAACATT